TGGGGGGGAACATTGCAGTCCTTGAAGCCCATTTCAAATGGTGACAACTTTTAATTTTTGTATGAAGTATGTTTTGTCAGGTAGAAAATGTTACTTTACATTCTGCAGTTCAAAAGCAGGTATGTTTCGTGCATGTGGTCGAGACCAATTGAGCAAAGGCATTGGGGAAAAGGAGTCTGATTGTACTAAATGCAGAAGGAGTCTGATCATTTGGCAATGGAAACAAGTTAGCTTCTGGAACTGGTATTTATATCTTCCAGACAGGAGACCACAACTCCTTTAAGCTGCTCGGTTTAATCAAGTCAAGGAAGTATTAAAGATGGAAGAAAGATTCTGAATTATGCAGCCTCAAGAAAATATTTAAATGAGTAGCAAGCTTCTTGGGTAGTTTGGTCATCTGCACACACAGCCCACCCTGTTAAAATCAAAGTGTCGTAGTTGGTGGGCTCATAGTAGGAGACAAGAAAACTCTACCTTATTCCAGCTTCTGCAAACAGGAAGCTGGAAGAACACAGCAGGCCAGGCAGCATCTGGAGGAAAGGAGCAGTCAACGTTTTGGGTATTACCTTCCTCAGGTTCGTAGTATATATGCCTCAGGTTTGAGATTTTAACCTGACATACATCCAACAGTTTTTTTTTGCTTGCTGTTTTCTGCTAGTGCACCACACAAAGTTAAAAGTTTCAACAATACAACACATCAAGGTTTTAGAAAATATACTCTTGTAGTGTATTTTGTATTAAACACTAACCATGCGAAGTCTGCTGCACTGGTGGTGGGGTCCACCTGCATCACTTTCTAAGTAGATAATGCGACACTTGTCAGGACTGAGTCGAGGAGACCAAACAGCATTTGTTTGAGATGTAAGTTGCACTGGAGGCAAAAAAAGCTTAATGTGAGCATGAGTGACACATATATATCAAAAGGACACAAGAACATATTTTCTGAAACTTTACTCAATACCAGCTCTCAATATATGGGCAGAGATCATCCAATAGGTATTCTGGTGAATTAGACCCACCTGTGTGAATTTTCCTGATTGACGTCATGCAAGTCTGAGTTGGGAATTCACCTGGAATTTAACCCAATGTCTTCGCAACAATAAACTTGCAAATAACAAGCAACAGATTCTGCCACAGCCAGGATGTCATTATTCACAGCAAAGCATAGTTTAGCATAGTTTGCCTGTGTTATAATTGAGGTGACCATTGATGTCTTCTCCCTCCCCAAAAAAGCATTTGTCAAACATGTTTTAAAAGACAATGCATCTCCAATTATGATTAAATTGAAATAATATTGTGGCGAGGTGTTCACTAAAGTATTTTGCTTGTTCCAGTCTTTTTCTGCAATTCAGTGGACTGGAACCATGACTGTCATGAGACTGCACATGCAAACTCCACACAGTATCACATTTTGAAATGGGAAGTTACTCTTCTGCAAGAGGCTCTAATTGATGACACAGTCAACTACAATGGCCGGACAGAAGAATGACACAGAACTGCATATCATTTACAAAAAGACCAACAAATTCAACACAATGGCATTCATACTCTCTTTAATCCTGGATTGTCTAGTGCATTTTCCTCAACACTTGCATAGGTAGAATTATGTTTTTGTTTCCTCAGTTCAGAAGTGGTGCTATACGGAGGCCACATTGCTAAATACTAATTTCACAATGTCAAACCTGCAAGGAAAAAGGTGGTCTCAGACAATTCTCATTCTACAAATTACTATATCTCATCTACATGACCTAGGCTCTAGGATTCAACTTGAAAGCAGCATTCACCCACCAGGGTTTGTGCCAGTCTGCTGTAAAATTCTATATCTCCTATTTATAAAGCTAATAAACCTCTGTAAACAATATGAAGGGGGTAATAAAAGTATTTCATTCAAATTGAGTCACTTACCACAGTTACCACCAGTCAGATCCACATAGTACAGTCCAGACCTAGAAGCAGGTAAAACAGATTAACATAATGATAACACAGTGTACTTTAATAAAAACACTGGCTAGGAGCACAAGGATGTACAAGATAAGAACTATACTAGCCAGTTGAAGATCTATAAATATTGTGAAAAGGCATTGGAAATATATTATGGTAAATGGAAAGTTGTGGAGAACATTTTGTACATTTGTTATTGTAACAATATCATTAAGAAAAATAAGCTTTTATAGACCAAATTTGAGTTTAATTGTCTATGTTTCAAAGGAAACATTACAAGTCTTATTATAATGACTTTGAAAACATATTACTCCTGTAGGTGGTTCTGCGATGGATATTTTCACTACTGTAGGAGGCACACTGTAAGGTGCTCAATAATTTATGTTCTACAGCTACAAATATATGACTGCACCACCTAGCTCTTAAGATGTCTTGCTTTTTTTAAAAAATAAAACCTACCCTTTACTCTTTGAGGAACATAATAGCAGCAGGTCATTCAACCCTTGACCCTCCTGCACCACCATTCTAGAAAACCGATTTTCTATCTTAATGCCACATTCCTGCGTTGTGCCCATACCCTTCAAGCTTATTAGTAACTAAAAATCTATTACTGTCTTGATCCCACTTAATTAACCTTAGAGGTGGAGCATTTCAAAGACTAACCATCTAAGTGAAAAGGTTCCTGCTCAATTCAGCAAATGTATGCTATCTTTCAGTGACTTATGACCAAAGACACCAAGCTCCTTTGAGACAAAAGCACTTTCCAATCCTTCCCCATTTAAGAAATACACTGCACATACATTCCTCTGACCAAAAGGTGGATAACCTGAGACTTATCCACATTGTATTCCAGCTGCCATGCTGTTGCCCCTATGGTCTCTCCAAATCTCATTGAAATGTCTTTTCCTCCCCATTACAACTCAATCTCAAAGTTCTGTGTCATCCACAAACTTGTAGATATTATAATTGGTCCCCATATCAAGCATTAGTTATTTAGATTGTGAACAGCTGGGGCACCAAGCACCAATCCTTGTTGTACCTACTTGCCACAGCCTATCAAACTGAGGATAACGCATTTAATTCTATTCTGATTTCTTCTTATTAATCAATCCTCAATCTATGTTGGTATAATATCCCAATTCCATTTGTTTACTATCCTCATAGATGAGGATTTTGTCAGAAGTCTTCTAAAAATCCAAATACACCACATTCAGTGGTTCTTCCCTGATTCTGCCACAGTCATAGAGCTTGTACAGTACAGAAGGAGGCACTTTGGCTTATCATAAAACACTGAATCCTTCCAAATATCTAGTATGATTCTTTAGTTCATATTTACAACCATTTCCCACAATCAAATAACCAATTCCTTCATCAAGATGCGGTCTAACTGAGCTTTTACAATAAAAACATATAGCATCCAATCCCAATGATAATATTCTTACAAACGTACTGTCAAATCTATTTTCACAATTTGCTTGCCAGTCCATCATCACCTACGATAGGGTTAGGGTTAATCCTAACTCCCACTCCACCTTTATTAAAGGTATTTATCTCTGCTGGAATTCTTAAATAAAACAAAAGGCAAGTGCTCAACGATGTATACATGTATCAAATACTGTGGGTATTGCCAGCCCTCCAAACTTATCCACAACTGATTACTTTTTGACTGGAGGGCATTAACTCAAGCCACACCTATTTTAAACATGCATTTCCATAGTAGCTACACATAAAAGTAGGAGCATGAGCCCAAGTTGATTCTCACTGTGCAACCTGAGGGCGTCATGTTAATTCTAGCATCCTTAATACTAAACCATTGGAGAATAGCAAGCTTAAAGTGCAGGTAAGTAATCCGTGACTGTCTGGTCTGTCTAACAGTAGGCAAGAGAATGTCTTTCTATTTGATAACAGAATGACAATTTCAATTAGAGGATTTCTCTTACTTTCTGTTGGTGCAGTACACAAGACCTAACCGTTGAGGCTCATGATACCATCCAACAAATATGATTCCAGTGTCATTCGGAGCCCAAAATGCCTGAAATACAAACATGAAATTGGGGACCAAAGATAAAGCAACATGTTACATAGCAGATTATTTCCAAAACATGACAGTGTGACCAACCAGATCACTGAAAATTAGGCTGAAAAAGGTGTGGAAAAACAAGTCTAGCCTTAGTTATAGAAGATTATGTTTAGGTTCTACTTTCGTCTGAGATTTTAAACTGAAAAAGCTAAATAAAGCAAATGGCTGAATCTCAACTTGCAATGGCCGTCAAAATTGCTTACCCATGGCTTCTCGGGCAGAGTTTTCTGATATAGTTGGCAGTCTCAAAAGGAGACTGGGTAGGAAAATGAGGTGGATTTCCTCTACAGTGCAGAGCATAGAAACAGACCAATGTTAGCACCAGAAAAGTTTGCAGCCCAAGGTCCTTCTGCAAATAGGATGACTTTCAGTGCTCTTGCTGAATGCCATTTCAAGAGGGTGAGACTTACAGAAGACCAAGTGCTTTGAGCATTGGAATGTCAGACACTGTGCAACCACTTTGATTATTCCCATTTCTCGAATAAATTCCTTGCTGTTGGCCATACCTTCCTCAGACATTAAACATGAATAAAAGTAAGCCTCCTTGCTCCTTTACAATAAGTTACAAAACATTTTGCACTTATATCAGTGTAGAATTAAGTGATTTGTCCAACAGGAGATAGAGTAGAAACAAAGAGTCAGCATAATTCAGATTCCAGAGAATCCCTAACAGTGTGGAAATGGGCCATTCGGCCCATCGAGCCCACACCAACCCTCCAAAGAGCATCCCACCCAAACCCATCCACTCTACCTTATCCCTGTAACTCTGCATTTCCCTTGGCTAACCCACCTAGCCTGCATATCCCTGGACACTACGGATAATTTAGTGTGGCTAATCCATCTAACCTGCACATCTTTGGACAGCAGAGGAAACCCAAGCAGGCACAGGGAGAATGTGCAAACTCCACGCAGACAGTTGCCCGAGGCAGGAACTGAACCTGGGTCCCTAGTGTTGTGAGGCAGAAGTGTAACCACTGAGCCACCATGCTGCGACGGGTCTCTTTTCCAGTGGTAGCAGAGGTAAGCTGGATACTGCAGGGATCAGTGCTAGGATCCCAAATAATAATATTAATGACGAATATATTAATGATTTAGATGAAGAAATTAAGTATAAATATCTCTAAATTTGCGGATAACAACATTGAGTAGGTGGGTAAACTGTAAGGAGGATGCGGAAATGCTTCAATGTGATTTGGGCAAGTTGAGTGAGTGGGCAAATACTATCAGATGATATTTAACGGGGATAAAAGTGAATTATCTACATTGGCAGCAAAAACGCAAAGTCAGATTACATGAACAGCAGATTGGGAAAGGTGGTGGTTCAACAAGACTCAGCAAACCTGCAGGTGCAGCAGGCAGTGAGAAGGTCAAATGGTATGTCAAACTTTAGCAAGAGGATGTTTAAGTCTTTGTAGCGTGTACTGGATTTTGTTGCCTAGTTGTGTGACACCACAACTAGGCAACAAAATCCTATACACGCTACAAAGACTTAAACAAACAGGACAGATCAACAAAACAGATTTCTTAAGAATGAAACCCGAAGGAACCAACACATCCCGATTCTACGGCCTCCCTAAAGTGCACAAGCTGGAAGTCCCCCTCAGACCCATAGTCTCCCTACCAGGCACTCCATCGCACAGATTAGCTAGAGAACTACAAAGAAGAATCAAGCACCTAGTCAACAAATCATCCCACTCCATCCACTCAGCCCAAGAATTCCTCAACTCCATCAAAGACATAAAGATAGAGGACGAAGAGACCATGATATCGTTTGATGTCACCACCCTGTTCACATCAATAGACATACCACTAGCAAGGGAAACAATGACAACACTACTTGAACAAGAACACGACCCCAGTGAAACCATCTCCAAGGACACAATGCTTAAACTACTGGACCTATGCCTGACCACGCACTTCACCTTCAACGGCCAAACATACGAACAAATCAACGGGACACCCATGGGATCGGCTATCTCCGGACTCATAGCAGAAGCAGTGATGCAAAGACTGGAAAGGACTGCCCTTCCGCAAATCCAACCTAAACTATGAATGCGCTACATGGACAACACCTTTGTCATCATTAAACAGACCAAATTAGAAGAGAGACACAAACTCATAAACAACACCCTCACCGGAATAAAATTCACCAGAGGGGAGGAGAAGAACAAACAACTCCCATTCCTGGACGTCATGGTAGAGAGCAAGACAAATGGGGAACTGCAAACGAAAGTACACCGAAAAGCCACACACATAGACCAGGTATTGAACTTCAACAGTAACCATCCCAACACACACAAACGAAGCTGCGTGCAAACACTATTTAAAAGGGCAACAACATGGAACTATGCCAAGAGGAGGAGGAATACCTCTTCCAAGTGTTCAAGGATAATGGATATCCAAAGAACTGGGTCAGGAGATGCCTACGGGAACAGCATCAGAAAGATTCTACACGCCCCGACACACTCATCACACTACTCTACATCCGGAACATGTCAGAACTCATCACAAGCCTTCTACGGCATCAGAGTGGCACACAAGCCCACATCAACCCTACAACAAGTGCTCACCCGCCATGGACAGGACCAACGTCATCTACAAGATCCCCTGCAGAGACTGCGAGAAACACTAGATCGGACAAACAGGAAGGAAACTAACAACAAGAGTACATGAACACCAACTGGCTACAAAAAGACACGAACAATACTCACTCATCTCAATCCACATGGGCAAGGAGAACCACCACTTCGACTGGGACAACACCAAGATCCTGGGACAGGCTAGGCAGAGACAAGCATGAGAATTCCTGGAAGCATGGCACTCCACGAAGCATGCTATTAATAAACACATTGAACTCGACCCCATATACATTCCACTATGGAGGAAACCCAGAAGTGAGGCAATCCATCGCAACGGACCCCAGAGTTTAAAAACCAGGCGGGAAAACACACCGATGCTTCATCGGAGGCTGCACTGAGGATGTTACCAAGCACGGTAACGAAACATCTGCAGAACAACAAACCAGCTCGGCAAGCCAACCAACCTCAACACCCACAACCCGAGCTACAGATCTACTCCAAAACCTTAGAAAAATGGTCTGGCTATGGAAAGAGTGCAAACAAGGTTTACCAGACTGAGTCCTGGGACGGCAGGACAAACATGTGAAGAGACATTGGATCAGTTAGGACTATATTCATTGAATTTTAGAAGAATGGTGGTGGTGGTATGGGGTTGAGGTGGGTGAAGTCTTATAGAAACTTATACTCTAACAGGACTAGACAGGGTAAATTCAGAAAGATCTTCCTAATCACTGGCGAGTCCTGAAACAATAGGTCATAGTGTAAAGACACAAGATAGGCCAATTAGGGCTGAGATGAGGAGAAATATCTTCACCCAGAGAATAGTTAGCCTGGGGAATTCTCTGTCACAACATGGAGACCAAAACATCAAATGTTTTCAAGGAGTTAGATATAGATCTTTGGGCTAAATAGGATCAAATGGTGTGAGGAGGAAACAAGAACAGGGCAATGATTGCCATGATCATACTGAAAGGTGGAGCAGCTGGAGTGGCCGAACAGCCTCCTCCTGCCCCTATTTTCTATGATTCCATGCATTAAGCATGGATTATTCCACACAAATAAAGAGTACAATAGACTGTTAAGTCTTTCCATACGAATTTAAAGCAGCCATTCTCTATTGTGTGCTTGCACCCCACCAGCAAAAAAACTGGCCAATCTCACTTACTTGGGAATGAATCAAGATTAACACTGCAGAATTAAGAAAACTCAAAAATATTCCTAGTTATCAAAAAGCAGGCGAAGAAAACAATCATACCACAGTCAATTAATCTGCCAAAAATGTCTAAGATTCAACACCAATTGTGGAACAGCACAACTGCAGAGCTGTGGGCAAAATGTCAATTTGTCAGTGTAGCATGGTTTGTACTTGGAAGACGCAATGCTTGCTTATCTAAATCTATTTCTGGAGTGTTATTTGCTGGCATGTTTACTAATGAGAGATTTACTTTAAAAAATTAAAGATACCATCAAATCTTTGTTTTTAACATTTGCAACAAATCAAGCAGGCTAATGCTCAGTCAATTTTTATTGATGCTGTTACAAAAGAATGCAAAATCAGCTTAGAGGTAGCTTGACATTCATTGATAACAGTAATTTTAAAAATCCTGATAATGTTGGCATGTAACAACACAGTGATTGCAGTTCAACAAAGCAGTAGTTATAATGGACACATTCCCAAATGTTATATTGAAATCAGTTACCAAAATCTAACAATTTTTAAAAATGTGAATATTTGCCAAATGCAAAGACAAGTAACTTATAAAGCTCATACTGAACCTTGTGTACTTTCTCTCGGTTTGAAGACAAAAAAACTGTAGATCAAGGGTCACTAGAGTTTTTATTGATTTAATAGTTAAGTTTTGCACTTTTTGAGGCAATTTTGGTTAAACTCTGAAACTGAGCAAACTTAAAGACAGAAGCAAAGTGATTGAAGTAATATAGAATATGATGTGAAATACAAACCTGTCCAGGGGAAATGTGTTCAGGTATTCCTTCCAGTACAGAGATGTTGTTACTCTCAATATCAAGCACACACAGCACAGGAGTGGTCTTCTTCACCAGAGTTTCTCCCCAGTCCTCCCAATACACAAACTCATCCCCCTGCAGAATAAGAAATAATAAATATAAACACTACCTGGAGTTTTACACAGGGTACAAGCGGAATTGTACAGCCTACCAAAGCTGGCTTATGTTTGTAATATTTCTAATTCCAAAAGATAATTGAAATCAACAGTATTAAAAAAGCTTTACTGCAGGATCAGTACTGCAGGATAAACAAAGAAATTTAACTCCAAATACCACACGATTCATTAACCTCATTTCTTTCGATTGACATTGTATCTGGCCCTTTTCTATATCATATTCATTTACAGTCAAAATTATATCAAAAAATGAAGTTTGGAAATTCTTCATTTCTGGTGCAATTTTAAATAACCTTGAGTTAATAATGGAAGCAGATGTTCAAACAAATTAAATTCAAGATCAAGTAAAATGTGCTGGTTTAATGAAGCACTGCATAACATTTAGATGTTACCATCACTCATGAAGCTCTAGAGATTTTCCGCATTACTTGGTGGTTTATTTTTGAGCAGATGTGTAAATTCTGATGCATATGCAAAAAGGAATGCTGTGGAGTTTACAACACATGATCTTCAGTGAAATTGTTATACGATAACAACAAAAACCAACAAGCAAAATTCTGTTTTGTTAAAACCTTTTCATGCGTAAAGCTGTAACCAACAAATCAATCTTTTGGGGAGTGATCAATAAAGTTATTAATATCTGACATCATAGGGTTATTAATTCCTAACTGATATCTAGCTAATTCTTAGGCATGTGGCAAAATCTAACAAATTATTGTTTTCACACTGGCCTTCAATACTCTCCTCTAAGTTAATCTCCTCACCTACTGCTCATTCATTCACTTAAATACCGGAGTTGATTTTGTCAGTCAATGAGTTCTCAATTAAGTACTAGGACAGTTCTTGAGAGCACTGGATTGTAAATCTAATTCAAGTTGCTTTCGCTCAGTTTAATCAATTAATGAGACATCAATTTGAATAGACTCATTTATTGACCACCTTAATTTAAAACATGGTCCACTCACAAAACTAACCTGACTTCCATTGGAGAAGTATTGGGAAAGAACATGATCCCAATTTCAAATGTTGAAACAGTGATGTTTCTTGGTTAACTAATACAAGTTGTCATCGGAGCAGAAGATACCAATGCAAGATTGTCCTTTTAAAGGTGTGGTGTGAATTTTTGCTCACAGAAGTAAACATGGGAGAATGGATTGCAATTAAGAACAATTTATGTTGCAGTGGTTTATTTTTGTATATTGAAGACAGACTAACTGGTTTCCTTGAATGACTCAAGCTGCCTGAAGACAAAATAGCTAAATCACACCAACTTTCTGACTATAATTGCAATTAGTGCTTACTTAACTACTCTTAGCTGAAGTAGCAGTATTAGTGTTACAACAGGGTGCAGCACTTGCTTTTGAAGGATTAAAAAAAAAAATCTGTCCTCGTTACTTGCAACCACCTCCATGCATCCTGTTTCTAAATGGTTAGAGGAAGAGAAGATTTGGTAAATATATGAATATATGATATATGATCCAAAATATATGAATAGCCTTCAAGGATCCCACAAGAAAAACAACCACTTGAAAACAATAGCAAATATCAAGACAGTCATGGCTTGCAGAAGCCAAAAAAAATGGAGGAAGGGTCAAAAAACATTGTAAACAGTAAAGCTAATACAAAGCTGTTCTACATTAGGATCACAAGCTTATCATTTACGGAATCCAGTCTCCCGAGTCAAGCAAAATAAGGCCAATTAAAAAGAAAGTACTGGAAAAGTTCTGCAGGTCTGGCAGCATCTGTAGGGTGGGAAATAGAATTAATATTTCAAATCCAAGGGATTTTTTTTTTGGAATTGAATAGAGGTGGGAATCTGAGATAACAAGGTGTAGAGCTGGATGAACACAGCAGGCCAAGCAGCATCAGAGGTGCAGGAAAGCTGATGTTTCAGGCCTAGACCCTTCTTCAGAAATGGGGGAGGGGAAGGGGGTTCTGAAATAAATAGGGAGAGAGGGGGAGGCGGATAGAAGATGGATAAGGGAGAAGATAGGTGGAGAGGAGACAGACAGGTCAAAGAGGCGGGGATGGAGCCAGTAAAGGTGAGTGTAGGTGGGGAGTTAGAGAGGGGATAGGTCAGACAGGTCAAGGGGGCGGGATGAGGCTAGTAGGTAGGGGATGGAGTTGGGGCCTGAGGTGGGAGGAGGGGATAGGTGGGAGGAAAAACAGGTTAGGGAGGCGGGGACAAGCTGTGCTGGTTTTGGGATGCAGTTGGGCGAGGGGAGTTTTTGAAGTTTGTGAAGTCCACATTGATACCATTGGGCTGCAGGGTTCCCAAGCGAAATATGAGGTGCTGTTCCTGCAACCTTCGGGTAGCATCGTTGTGGCACTGCAGGAGGCCCAGGATGGACATGTCGTCTGAGGAATGGGAAGGGGAGTTGAAGTGGTTCGCCACTGGGAGGTGCAGTTGTTTAGTGCGAACCAAGCGTAGGTGTTCCGCAAAGCGGTCCCCAAACCTCCGCATGGTTTCAATCTGGTGGGTTTTAGGCTGTACAAATAAAAATAAGTCAGGACAAACAGAACAAAAGCAAAGGTCAAGGGCGAGAGGGAGTAGAAATCACAGGTCGCACGGAACAGTGAAAGAAGTGCTGTTTCTTTTTAAGAACTAACCTTCAGAAATCATCAACTATCAAAACTTCAAACATTATATTAAACACAACAGGCTATAACAGCAGTTCTATTTTGGACCTCTCTTATCTGGCACTCCTCCATACACTGTCCTCTCCAAGGACATTGTTCCTTCTCTCCTGACACCAGTACTTTCAAGATTAAATGTCAAAAGTTACTCGTAATATCAGGGCAAGTCTCTGTTAAAAGGCACCTTCACACCCAACAGCTATGATACTTGACATGTTCATAACATAACATTACTTTAAAACCTAAAACCTTTCACTGAAACACACTCCCCTGTCTAAATGCTAATCTTCCTGGATTCACATGTGACAATGGGTGTTGCACCAGCTGCCTGGAGAGAAGAACAGTACTGTACTTTCACAGGCTTCTCTTGCTTCTCTGGTTTGATGCTGTCATCTTCCTCCTCATTCACACTGAGCTCTGGTTTAGCTTGGAAGAAGGATTCCGCTTTGGGTCTTTTCTTTTCAGCGACATACAGAATGTGAGTCTCTGAATGAGACCACACAAGGCAGCCAAAGTGATCTGGTGAGGGAAAGAGAGAAAAAGAACATAAAGAATAATAATTAAAGAACATAACAGTACCGAAAGTCCTTGAAGTAACACATTCAGGAACTACAAAGGATCCGAGACTTCCTGAAATGACTAATTTCCAGTCCAAATAATAAAACAGAAGCAAAATCAGAAATTGCTGGAAAAACTGAGCAGGTCTGGCAGCATCTGTGAAAAGAAAGCACAGTTAACATTTTGGGTCTAGTGACCCTTCTTCAGAACTGATTGTCATAAGGAAAAGATTGGTACATATATTGAAAATGGGGTGGGGGAGGGAAGGAGTAAATGACAGGCGGAGGTGGACCTCAGACACAGAAAAAATAAACACACAGTTGAGCAGACAAAGGAATGGGTAAGAGTCAGCCTGGGAGATTGAATAGCTACTGATGGGGACCATTAGTGGTGGCAATCCATGTGATGACAAAGGTCTGGTGTGTGGAGATTGGATAAGCACATGTGAGAAGGTGCTCAGGCCCTAGGCCCTAAAATTATTGAACTTGTTATTGAGTCCAGAAGGTTGCAGGGTTCAAGGTTGGTGTATATATCAATAGCTGAAGTCTGTATTAGTTCCAGAGGCTAAGGCTCACAGTTCTCTGACTCTTGCCGAGAAGGTCCTGGTGAGGGCTAGCAGGTAAATGTTGATCACTGCAGATGGGAGGAAGAGGCCAACATAAAAAAAAGACACAGGTAGGGCTGGAAATGGTAGAAGAGAAAGTGTGGTCCCTTGAACTGCTGCAAGAGGTTCAAAGACCTCATCAGGCCTCAGGAAGATCAGTGGCATGCTATTTTTAGTTGCAAAACCCCACAACACTTACTTACCAAGTATTCTCCTGGACAGTTCTCCTTACATTAACACACTACTCTCCCTAGTTGCATTTTTTCACACGCTGAAGCCAAAGACAAGTACTCAACTGCCATCTCATGACCATACCTCACAGACACCCCCTGCAAATGTTCCCATTCTATCCTCTCCATGCAATCCATCATTCATACGCCTAACACTCGGACTTCCTCTTTGCAGAGCAGAGCGTAGAACTTTAGGCAGAAACAGGCTTGGGATGACACTCTAGTAAAAACACAACCTATATGAAAACAAAATCTCAGGATGGAAAATTGCATGCATTAAGTGACGGAGGGATGGGAGTCCCAGATACTTGGTGATAGCATTCACAATCTAACTGCCTTTTAGCACATCACAATCACTTATTGAATTGCTATCATAGCTGATGAACATCAACACAATGCTGACTTCGGATTCTTCTCCAACATCAGTTCTAAGTCACGTCATCCATAGTCCAAGAAAAGTCCATCAAATGTAACACAGAAGCTAGGGTGGTAAAAGCCAAGGAGTCCAGAGGGGATTGTGCATTCTGAAGTGTTTTCACAAGACTGACGTACAACTTCACCAACTGAGATCCACTCATCTCCAAGGCCTACACTGGTCATAATTAGATTGTCATATGGTGAAGCACACATCATGGGTGAGCAGGATTCTATTATGGAGGCAAAAGATAGGAGTGGACAGTCCCTAGTGGAGGATACAAAACAGATGAAGCTATCTCAGCTAGATATAGTTGCTGAACAAGGATTATCCAAGACAAGAACAATTCTAGATCAGAAAATGTGGCATCCATCTCAAATAAAGTTGAAATCTAGAATCTCTGGGTATGATTTTCTGATATTTTTTCAAGGCACAGGTGCAAACCACTGAGAAAACTTGCCCGATCATCCGCCATCAGCTCATTAAGAGTTGCCAGCCAAAGGCCATCACCTTCAGAGTCTTAAAAGTCCTACTCCTACGTGCATCTAGAAGGGAAATCATCTTTACCTACTGGTCAAGAGATGGGTGCTGTAGGGAGTGGATACTCTGAGGCAAAGTTAAAAGGTATATTTCAAAGGCCAGACACTTGACCCAAAACCATGCCAAATGAAGACAATTCGAGACCACACCCCCCCACCCCCCGACTTCACCAGCCAAATTGGACAGCAGGTCACCATAGTGTCCCAGCTGGGGAAACTAGCAAGCTTTCGAACTGATGGGGTGGCAAATGATTGGGGAGAAGGTGAATTAAGGCCCTTAAGTGCCCTTTCATTGTCAAAGCACAAACAATTAGCATCTTTAAGTGCTCAAAATCCCCAGTGGACCTTCTCGCCCAGCACTTAAACGGTGAATGGTGAAAAGGGGATAAGAATCTCTTCAGGGCCAACTCGCCCAATTATTTCCTCTTCTTGCCAACTCATTATTTTCATGGAGCAGAAAGTTCCACCCATGATTCTCTCATACAAAAGGTGAAAAGAGCTTTCTTCAACATCATGGTATAGCAGCTGATATGGAAATGTTTGGTGTTGACGCTGATTGCCTGAAATGGAAAATGCTCCATTTCAAAGCGCTGACAACCCACACTGTGGGAAAAATATTCACAACAAAAGCAAAATTAAAAATTTTAAATGTCTGTTGCCGAACTGTTGATATTATTCTTTATTAAATATAAATCACCTCACCACATATTGCCACTCGGCAGTATTAAGATCCATATTTCTTAAGAAATCCACAGTTCTAATGGACTTGGAAATAACAAATTTTGTGATGAAGCTTAATGCATGTTAAAAGCTCCATGTCAATATTGAATCTTGCAAAGCATAGGCTCTTAGTCCTTGACTGGAACATGATAAAACCTACATTGACAAAGGGAAATTTTGTACAAAATTCATTTGGAATGTAAGGCTGCCAGATCTAAGAGAATGCACAATAGGATAGCTGCTGCTTTTTCTAAAATAAAAGGGTAATCTTCTCCTGAGACAACAAGGTGTTGAGCTGGATGAACACAGCAGGCCAAGCAGCATCAGAGGATCAGGAAAGCTGACGTTTCGGGTCTAGACCCTTCTTCAGAAATGGAGGAGGGGAAGGGCATTCGGGTCTAGACCCAAAACGTCAGCTTTCCTGCTCCTCTGATGCTGCTTGGCCTGCTGTGTTCATCCAGCTCTACACCTTGTTATCTCAGATTCTCCAGCATCGGCAGTTCCTTCTATCTCGGTAGTAATTTTGTCCTGCTTTCTCTTTCCATTTCTCCAAAGTCGTAGCTGCAATTTATAATAGCTAAAGCTAAATCCTACTCTGTCATTGTCTGCTTTTGCTGAATATAGAAGAGAAAAAATCTATTTAACTTCCTGTATACAAAGAATGGTATACACTACTGGTCTCAAAGAATAAATAGAACAAAGTATTACTTTTTTCTGAAAAATATCACTGATTCCAAGTATAGTCTTACCATCTTCATACACCTTGCCATGCTTGTCAAGTGCAGTCAGGTTAATACTCTTCTCCTTGGAGTTTTTATTCCAGATCTGAAAGTGCAATCAGAGTGCAGGCAACAACAGACAGAAGTTCAATAATTGAGATAAATATATAGTTTCAAATCCAAATCAATACACTGCTCTCTTCACAGAATTAACATGGCTTGCAAATGTGATCGAGAAAGATTTTTTTTCTACACAAGTGGTTGGGGTCTGGAATGCACTGCTGGAAATGCTGTAGATACAAAAGTCAATTGGGGCAGTCAAGGGGGCATGTAATCACCCAATGTGTGAAGGTATAGAGAGGCAAATGACACAAAATCATAATGCTTGCTGCATAGCCATTGTAGGACCACGGACCGAATGGCCTCCTTCTGTGTGTAACAATTGTGAGAATGGGAAGATGAAAGCAAAAATTTCTAAATAAATTCTGGTTTACAAAACTTCACAAAAATAATATAGCATAAGCTACCCAAGGAGTGATCACAGATGATGATTTCAGTCAGTTTCGGGTAACATCATTGGGTCCCATGACTGAATAATAAAAGAAATATCACAAAATGGCTGAGCACCAGTTTAAAATCGATGGAAAACTGCAGAAAAGATGCATGTTATTTTTCACAAGCCACTAGCACCATTGTCTAATTCAAGGATTGAAACTGGATTGTTTAAAAAAAAAATCATTGATGGGATGAGGGCGTCACTGGCTAGGCAGCATTTATTGCCCATCCCTTATTGCCTAGAGGGCAGTTAACTATCAACCACATTGCTGTAGGTTTGGAGTCACATGTAGGCCAGACCTGGTAAGGATGGCTGTTTCCTTCCCCTAAAGGACATCAGTGAACCAGATCTGCTTTTCCTGACAATCTACAATGCATTATGGTCATCATTAGACTCTTATTTCCTGATTTTCTGTTATTGAATTCAAATTCCAAATTGCAAAGGTGGGATTCAGACCCAGGTGCCTGGACCTTTCCTCTGTCTCTGGATTTACAGTCCAGTGATAATGCCACTAGGTCATCGCTTCCCCAAAGAAGCTCCTGTAGTTCTGCAACGTGTCCCTCTCTGATTGGTTGTTGTTGCCCTGTGCTGTTGCCGTTGTCTCCTCCCTTGCAGACACATGACTCTGTCAAGACCATTGGTCCCATCTGGACTGGCTTGGTTCTCCGAGGGACATCCTTGTTGCTGAGGCATGGCGACCAGCTAGTCCACGTCTCCCCCAGACTAGTTCATCCTTAGTATGTACCATATATAACAATGGTCCTGTTTTGAGCCACCACCACCGCTTGGATGCATTTTTCCAGACATATAATGCCAAGCCAACACGGTCTCTCCTTTTGGAATACCTTCAACTTCGAGCTTCCCGTCCTCCTAGCCAGTTGTCCTTCTTGGTTCTGCTGTACCTCATCTCTGGTCTCTTCCAGCTACAGTAAGTCAAACATGGTTCTCAGCTGGCAGCTGGATATTAAGAACGCAGTGAACACTGGGTCATCACGTGTGGTGTGTTCTTATACATGCTGAGGAACTTGTTGATTTGCCATCCTAGTGATCCCACCACTTTTGAAGCCTTTAAGGTCTGCTTCAGTGTTTGAACAAATCTTTCCGTCTGGTAGCCCACTTAATATTTGATCCATGGCCCACTGAAACAGAGCTGGCACTGACAGGATGCCAAAAGGAAGTCGCTTGTAGTGGAAAAGGCACCCCTACGTGTCACTGTCGGCAGCAGCTGAGACTCCTTTGCAACTCCTATTTGTAGGTAGGCCTGCAGCAGATCCATTTTTGGAAATTTCTTTTCCTTTGAAGGTCTCTTTGTACTTGGCCAGGCTCTCTTGAAAACTCATGTTCAATCTTAATTTTTGTGACAAGGAGGGTCCAAATAATGCAAGGTATTCACCTTTTACTACATAGTTACTACATACTACATTTTTCCTGCCACCCGAGTTTAGTAACTGTTCGCAGCGCAAGGACCCTCAACGAACGCTCTCCACATCGGCCACTCCTTCAACGGCTCTTGTGATAGTGTACCATTCCTCCCTGGCACTGCCTGCAGCCCATGTCCTCTTGTAACCACTCTCCTCAACAACACTGGTAGCTCCCAGGTGCATAGTCTTTTCTTCAGTCAGTCATCGGCCCAAGTACCCTGGTGTGTACCTGGCGTCCTCTTGTAACTACTTCCCTCAATGTTACCTCCTTACACTGTTTTTGAAGTCCGGGCAACATCTCCTCTGGACAAAATAAAAATGGCATTTGCACGCAGCTAATGGGCTGGATCCCACTCTCATCGCCAGTTGCTATGTTGGTGGTTTAGTTGGAACCAGGAATTCTATACCAGGGAGACATGATAATTGTGAACAGGAACCTATTAATGATGCTCACACCTCCACAGCTGGTTCTAGACTACACTCAAGCTCCAACTCTCAGGATCACCTAACCAACTGTCTTGAAGGAACTGCACCCCTACCCGTCTACTCTACAAGGCTCAAATCAGCAGGGTGATGGAATACTCCCCTCTTTCCTGGATGGGTGCAGCTACAACACTAAGTTTGAAACTATCCAGGACAAAGTAGCCCACTTGGTTGGCATACAATTCATTACTTTGAACATTCACACCCTTAACCACCAATGCACAGTAGTAGCAGCAGAGTGTACATCAATAAGATGTACTGCAGTAACTCACCAAGGTTCCTTTGAAGACAGCTTCCAAACCCACAACCTCCACCATCTAGAAGGACAGATACATGGAAACACCCCTATCATCTACAAAGTCCCCTGCAGGTCATACACCATCCTGATTCCTTAAGGTCACTGGGTCAGAATTAACATTCCCTCCAAGGTGCAGGCTCAGAAGTCCAGCTAAACAGCGATCAGCGTTGCTGATACAGGACTTCCAGAAATGAAATTTCAGCTTGAAAATATTTGAAGAATACATAATAAACAAAGGTCATTTGAAGAATAATTTTTACTACAGCAACAAATGCACATGAAAAAGTTTTCACTCTTGGCTCTTCATCAAATAGATCAAAACTCCAAATTCAGTTTCAATGCCTTTCAGAGGTAGGTGTTGAGGCGTAAGCAACTATAAACCAAGTGATAAGTTGTGGTTACAAACTTACTTCCAGAAATTGCTTCTCCTCTCCCTTCTTGTTAGTGTGCTCACGGAGAACAGCTTTTAAAAATCCAGATGGAGACTCTTTGCTTAATAGCCTACAGAAGAAAGAAACCGTAATTGCACTGCACATTTTTAGTTTGAGTGTAACCACATCAGCATTGCAAATAACAATACACTAAGTAGATGGTTATGTTTGTTGAAGAATAAACATAGGACAGGCTTAGGAATTAACGAATGGGAGTCTGCTCCGCCATTCAACAAGATCATGGCTGATTTGCATCCCAATTCCACCTACGTTCTTCAGCTGCATTTTCCTCAATCCTCTTGGTTAGCAAAATCTATCAGTCTTAGATTTTAAAATCTTCAACTGAACTTTTTTTTTGTTTGAGGGAAAGTTCTACAATTTTCTGTGAAGAAGTGCTCCTTACCTTTTCTCTTGAACAATCTTGTTTTGATTTTATGGCTTCATTCCCTTGTTAGGGTCCTCCACTGACATGAAATGTTTATCTCGATCCAAACTATACATTTCTTTCAAAGTCCTAAAAACCTAAAGGAAGCGACCCTTTATCCTTCTAGATTCCAGTGAATCTAATCTCCGTTTATAATTTAATCTTTGGAAGCACTGAAAAATTCCAGCTTATCTGTGCTAAACAACTTCCAAGGCCACACTCTTTTTCTAGTGCTCAGAACTGTAAACAGTACACCAGACATTGTTTAACCAGAAGTCTATAACTAAAGCCAAATAGGTTTCTTTTGTATTCCAGATCTCCACATTTGAAGTTTAATATTCAATTGTCCTTTCGTACCTGACCACAACATTTGGGTGATCTGTGTATATTGACTTCACACTCTCTTTGTACCCCTATTTTTTCATGATTTAGAAATACTCAGGTGAATCCTTTGTCACACTCAACTGCACTGGAATTAATCCACCAGTTTTGTCTACTCATTTCATCTATCAATGTCTCTTTGTAATTTTATGCTCCATCCTACGTTATCCAACATGCATCAATGTTTGCATCATTGAATGTAGGATCTTTATTGCCGTTTAACATCTCACCTGCCTGCCAGCAGCTCTGGCAGCGTAGCAATTCCTGAACACTGCACTAATGTTAATGTTTTGGTTTCAGAAACAATAATATCGGGGTGGCGGGGGGGGGAAAGAGGAGGTAGGGGGTGCGGGGAGTGTGCTCAAGTGATGGACATGTTGGTACCTTAACGTCACCTTGTTAAGTTAGCTCAGTAAGGATCTTCTTGAGTTGATGCCTCAAATGCTCATCAAACCTTCAGAGCTCTAAAAAAGTGGAGCAGTTAATGCACAAATATATATTTTACTTACTCGCCCTGCAGCTCTGTGCAGTTTCCAGAAGGGCCTGTGTACACAATAGAATCTTCATCATAGAACATGATATATTGTCGGCAGAATTTCACCTTCTCTGCTCGTTCCAGATCTCGCTGAGACCATTCTGGAACAAAAAAAATTTAAAGACTTAATGCACTGAACATTCCATGCATGGTACTTTATTAAGAATGCAATTTTATATTTGGTCAATTAATATTTATTTAATTCTGTTTCTCAGATGAAACTATATTGAGATGGGTAATTTTAGGAATGCATACAGCTGCAGTACATTTAGTAGGAGGCTGATCTGGAGGTATAATAACTTAATATTGTCATATGTTTATGTAGAATCTTTTTAGAGGGAGTGTACAATTTTGGTGATAATTAAAATTTAGATATAGAGTAATATTCTTAAAAGGGAATGCTAACAAAATGCCTTCAGAAACAGATATTAGAGAGCTAAACGATGAAATGAATATCGATAGGCAGAATGCACCAGAAACTTGATTATTCTTAGATTGAATAAGTCGCATGCTCTGATAGCATACATCCCAGTTTTCTAAAAGAAATGAGAGTGGAGATCTCAAAGGCACTTGCAATAATTTTCCAAAATTCAATAGATATGGTTGAGAATCAGGAAGTGGCCAATTTGACATCTTTTTTCAAGGATACAAACAGCTTCCTTGAAATAACAGGACAGTCTGTTTAACACAAGTTGTGGGAAGGTTTTAGAAACAATTATCAGGGAAAATAATTCATGGACATTTGCAGAGATTCTAGTTAATTAAAAGACATGTAAACAGAAAATGCAGGGGAAACTCAACAGATTTGGCAGTATCTGTTAAGTGAGGTCAGTAACTCTTCTTCAGATCTGGGCTTGAAATGGTAACATGACTTTCCCTTCACAGATGCTGCCAAACCTGCTGAGTTCCTCCAGCAATTTTTTTTGTTTGCTTCAGATCGCAGAATCCGCAGTTCTTTGTTTTACTTCATTTGTAAAAGGCAGAATGTTGGATTACATGTTTGACTAAATTTTATTAAATTATTTGCTGAAATAACAGAAGGGAATGTAGTGGACATTGTCCATATGGATTTTAAGACAGTGTTTAACAAAGTACCACATAAAAGACTGATTAGTAAAATTAAGCCTCATGGAATATGAAGCTCAATGTCAACCTGGATTAAACAAATTGGCTAAATATAGAAAACAACAGGTTGTAGTCATTGCTGATTTTCAGACAGGAAGTTAGTAGATAATGGTGTTTAGCAAGAGTCAGTGCTAGGCACGCTGCCTTTTTGGATGCACATAAATGATTTGGATATTGAAACAGAAGGAATGTTTCAAAATTTGCCGATTAAACCAGATTTGGAGGTCTAACAAACTGTACTATCAACAATAACGCAGGTAGGCCAGCAGAATGGGCAGGCAAGTGATAAATGGAATTTAATACAGTGATTTGTTGCATTTTAACAGAAGGGATACGGACAGCAATATAGACTGAATGGTACAACTCGAAAGAACGACACGTGCACAGAAGAACCTGAGGTTCACGTGCATAGATCTTGGAAACTGGGAGGAAATTGAAGAATGATTTGCTAACTCTTAATCAAGTTCTTGTTTCAGTCTCAAAGATAAGATGGTCATTTAAGTCATGAATGACATCTTTTGGACTTTGATGTATTTTATTTTGTGTTCTGCTCAACTTAGCTACAGCCTTTGAATAGTCCACTACATCATCCTCCTTTAACATCTGTCCTATCCTATCCAGCCGAGTAGGATTGTTCTTGCCTGGTTCAGTCTTATCAAATAGTACCCAGAGCGTTTCCAATAATTACATCCTTTTCTATGTAATGTAATTTCATTATTTCTGGAATCCACTACTCCTTTGATAATATCATTCTTATTCCACATGTACGCTGACACTCTATCATCATTTCACTACCTTTCTCAAAACCCATCACTGACACTGTTTTCCTGCCTATGTCACTTTAACACTTCTGATGACTGAATCCTTACGTACCCAGTGCCGTCTCCAGGTTTTTGTTTCAATGCCCTCCTGGCAAACTTCCTGCCCTCCAAATCCAAAAACATTACTTTATTCCATATGCTGCCTAAATATTAACTGGTCCTCCTCAATAATTGCTGAACGAAATTGGCTCCCATTCCTCCAAACCTTTAAATTTAAAGTTGATTATTATCTCCATGGTCTCATCCCCTAACTGAAAAAACCTGGCTTTGTCTGCATTCTTGAGTCCTTTCATTCCTCCACTGGCAGCCATCTCTGCAATCATCTGGGCTCTTAGCTCTGGAATTCCTTTTTTAAACCTCTCCAATGTTTCCCCCTTGAAATGATCACTGCATTGACCAGTTAATTCACCCTGTTATACCCCTCTTTGATTTGGCAACAATTTTTGCTTAATTACACTGTTTTGAAATACCCTGGATGCTGATCTACATGGAGGCTATTTTCTAAATGCAAATAATTACATTTGCTGAAAGTGGAAGGTGACAGGCTCCATGAGACAGAATGTGTTTAATGCGTCACTCGTTATTTTGCACTCTACTGTTACAGCCTCACTGCCAATGTTCTCTCTTAATTAGACACACAGATAAAGTAAAATGGGTTAAAGGAATTCAGTAAAAGATGAGTAAATTTGTTATTTTTGAGCAGAGGGTAAATACAGATCTGAAATATTTAATGCTCTAGTTCCTCCTTCAAATGTTGTAGAGTGCTAAATAATGTTGATAAAGAATATCTGTAAGCAAGATGAAAACTTAAAGTTGCTGACTATATTCTGATCTGACCATAATGTATTCTAAACTACACAGTAAAATATTTCTGAAGAACAGTCATATTGGATTCCAAATATTAATATTGTTTTTCTCTCCACGGATGCTGCCAGATCTTCTGAGTTTCTCCAGCATTTTCTGATTTTATTTTAGATTTCCAGCATTTGTAGTATTAGTCGAGTATAAAATTACAAAACTGTTTCTCTCTAAAACAGAGAGCATTATTCCACTCAACCTGTTTAGACGTAGATGTCAAGCCTCTTGGCTTTAGTTACCTGTATAGATGTTGCAGTGCTTGCCCCCATACTGGGAAATGACCTCAGGTCCAATGCAGGCTTTCGACAGAGATGGGAATTTGCTTAACTCTTTGTAAATCTCTGCAATTTCATTGGGATTGGTGATCACCTTCAACAAGAAAAAGTGACATGATATATTCAGATACCAAGTACAATTTTCAAGTTAATCCATCAGTAAGGGTCTGACATTGGGCTTGGTTTATTTGTAGTATAAGCCACCTTTTATTCATCAGCCAAATTAATTGCACGATTTAGTACAAGAATATCCCATCCAATCAAGGTAGTATATTATAATGACATAACTTCCCATCTACTCTACATGTCTCTATGGCTCTGTGGTTACCAAATTAATAGTCAGAAAGTATAAGCACCACTAAAGAACTGAGTAGCTAACTTAGGTTTGTGCTTAGTGCAGGGCTAATGAGTGTTATACAGTCAGTTGTGCTATTTTGTTGGAGAAATTAAACCAAAACTAATGCACTTGCTCAGGTAAACATAAATAATCCAATTGTGTTGAAGAACAAGAAGTTCTTTGCTGCTCCTATCAACACATTCCCAACGAAAGACATGAAAGACATGTTCACCAAAACGGTCATTCATTTGTCTGTTTGTAGAGACAGCATGTTTGAACACAAAGGCCTCAAAACTGACACCAGGTTCATGGTCCACAGGGCAGCACTCCCTCATAAATCGTCCATGTCTATAAATGTACAGCAGAAATCTCAAATCCTTTGAGAAATATCACCAGCAATACCTCCACAAAATCCTGCAAATCCACTCAGATGATAGGTTCTCCAATATAAATGTCCTGTCTCAGGCCAACATATTTGATACTGAGGCACTGGTAAACATCAATCAGCATCATCAGGTATTGATCATGTCAGAAAAGTCTTCTAAAACAAGCTCCCTATTCCGAGCTTTGTCATGTCAATTGTTTACCAAGAGGGCAGAGGAAATGCTTCAAGGTCATCCTCAAAGCCTCCTGAAAGAAATAGCAGCTGGTCATTCTGCAGCTTAAAGCTTGTTCCATACAAGGTTTCTTCATGTCCTCAAGCAATTCCTTTCAAAATTCTAAAAACCTCAATCCAATCACCTTTCAATTTTCTATATTCCAGAATATGCAAGCCTAAATTTATATAATCTCACTTCTTAATTTAACCTTTGAACTTTTAAAACATTATTTGCACTCCTTCCAGGATCAATACATCTTTAAGATGCACTCAACAGTCCAGGTATGGCCTCCTTTCATATCCCTGACAGCAGACTCCCGAAGCAACCGGTCTAATCAGAAGTCACAGCAGGAGATATTCAAGAGGACAGTTGAATTTAAATACTTTGAAAATATCCTCAAAACATCCCTGATTAGATCAAATATCCCCACCTCACCTGGACTCATGTGAGTCCCTAGCTCGTGAACGAACAAAATGAGAAAAGTTCATTCAGAAAGGTAACGGTTACACTCAGATTTCATAAGGAATACAGAGGGAAATCATGTCAGAGACTGAACACAAACCTCTAAGCATTTCATTACCAAACATCACCTGCCCTGCATGTGGGAGAACCCATAGATTATGCATTGGATTTAATCAGCCATCTCATAACCGAGACTGGAATGGAAGCAAGTCATCCTTGATGCTTAGAAACTTAATGATCAGGATTTTGTATAACAATACCTCTCCTTTACATTTGAGCCCACTTGATATAAAAGTTAACATTCTAGGAGTCCTTTAATATTTTTCTGTATCTGATCATTATGTTTTTGCTATTTGAGCATATTAGACTTGTGGTTCAATGCCTCCATTGTTCCAGCTTTTCACAATTTAAAATATTGTCATAGAGAAAATGTCAGAGACTGTTAGAAAAATTCAAGGTAATCAAGTATAATCAATTATATTTGTGAAAAGGAAAACATTTATTGAAGTTGTTTGAAGTAGTAATGTTAGTGGCTGGTCAGCTCAAAAGGATAGAGCGTGCCGCTAATAACACCAAAGTCATGGGATCTATCCCTGTACCAGCTAATGTTGCTGGCTTCCCCGGTCACACTTTGACTCCAAGGACTTGGGTGACTGTCTGGGGTTGTGGAGTTTGCACATTCTCACATTGGTGGATTAGCCATGCAGCATCCAGGCATGTGCAGGTCAGGTAGATTAACCATGATAAATTTTCCAGTACTTGGCCCATAGCGTTGTAAACCTTGGCATTTCAAGTATACTTCTAAATACTTGTTAAATGTTATGAAGATTTTTGCATCTATCTCCCTTATAGGCATTGAGTTCCAGGTTCCCACCTTCCTCTGGTGAAAACATTTTTCATCTCATCTCTAAACCTTCTGTCACTTACCTGAAATCTATGCCTCCTGTTCATTGATCCCTCCACCAAGAGGAAATGTTTTCATATTTTCTATGTCCCTCATTATTCTATACATCTCAAAACGATGTCCTTCCCCAGTCAACTCGGCTCCAACGAAGACAATACCAATCTATCCAATCTCTCTTCATAAATAAAACTCTCCATCCCAATGAACATCCCAATAAACCTCCTCTGCACCCTCTCCAGTGCTATCACATTCCTCCTATAATGCAGATCCAGCACAGAATACTCTAGCTGTGCCTAACCTACATTTTGTACAAGATGTGGAGGTATCGGTGTTAGACTGGGGTGGACAAGGTCTGAAATCACACGACACCAGGTTATAATCCAATAGGTTTATTTGAAATCACAAGCTGTTAAAGCACTTCCCCTTCATCGGGTTAAGTGAAGAGAAGCACTTGGGCACAAAATTTATAAATCAAAAAGAGATCAAAGGATCATACAACTGATGTGAGTGGCATGTCGACAGGCTGAATAATAGGTCTCTGCAGGTGATCAGAGTGTCAGAAGGCGTGAGTAGAGTGTCAGCAGCTGAATAGCAGGTGAAGGGATGACCTATAATTCGATTAATTGAGGCAGAGATAATTACAAAATATTAAAAATAAGGTGGTGCTGGAGTCAAACTAAATGACTGGAATAACATGATAGGTACAAGAGTCGCATGCTGAGGGTCTAACCAAAGTAACAAGTAATCCAAAACTACAGACTAATTAAGGTAGAGAGATCGTAACAAGGTTATCAAGATGGTGTCAAAACAGGACAGCAAGGAAGATTTTACAGATACAGAACAGTGTGGTGGTGACACATGTAGTGCGACATGAACCCAAGATCACGGTTGGGGGCCGTCTTCATGGGTACAGAACTTGGCTATCAGTTTCTGCTCGGCAACTCTGCATTGTTGTGTATCTCGAAGGCTGCCTTGGAGGATGTTTACCCAAATGTCGGAGGCTGAATGTCCCTAGCCACTGAAGTGCTCCCTGACTGGGAGGGAACATTCCTGTCTGGAGATTGTTGTGCGGTGTCCATTCATCTGTTGTTATAGCGTCTGCATGGTCTCGCCAATATACCATGCCTCAGGGCATCCTTGTGTAGAAGGTAGACAACATTGGCCGAGTCACATGAGTATTTACCACGTATGTGTTAGGTAGTGCTCCCACGTGTCTATGATCTGGCATGTCTTGCAGAGGTTGCCATGGCAGGATTGTGTGGTATTGTGGTTGATGTTGTCCTGAAGGCTGGGTAGTTTGCTGTGAACAATGGTCTGTTTAAGGTTTGGCGGTTGTTGAAGGCGAAACAAGGAGAAGTAAGAATAATCTTGGCGAGATGTTCGTCGTCTTGGATGACATGTCGAAGGCTGCGAAGAACATGGCGTAGTTTCTCCATTCCAGGGAAGTACTGGACAATGACAGGTACTCTGTCAGTCGTATCCTGTGTCTGTCTTCTGGGATCGGTGCAGTTTATCGCTGTGACATGTCAGAACTGGCGATCGATGAAATGGGCATTATATCCTTTTTTGAGGGTGTCTTTCAACATCATTAATTGCCCGTCATGATCCTCCTCATCTGAGCAGATCCTGTGTATTCACAGGGCTTGTTAAAAAAGCCTTCCCTTACGGATGGAAGCTAGAGAAGTGCAGCATCACGAAGTTATCCACGGGCCTGCGGTAGACTAAGGTACTGAGGTGTATGTCCTTGATAGACACGTGTGTACCCAAGAACGAGACTGATTCTGAACAGTAGTCCATGGTAAATCTGATAGTGGGATGAAACTTGTTGATATCATTATTTAGTTATTTCAGTGATTCCTTGTCAAAAGTCCAAAGGAAACGATGGCATCGCTGCAACAGCCTCAGTACTGTACACCAACAGCTGCCAATTTCCAGACGCAATCCTATACCTCATCCACTTCATCCATCCTCCACCACAACGTCTTCATCTTCGACAACCAGTTCTCCATCCAGTCACACAGAACAGCCATGGGGACTAAATTTGCACCCCAATATGCCAATATTTTCATGCATACATTTGAGCAAGACTTCTTTGCTGCACAGGACCTCCAACCAATGCTGTACACCAGATCCATCAATGACATTTTCTTCCTTTGGACTCATGGTGAGGAATCACTGAAATGACTACACAACGATATCACCAAGTTTCATCCCACCATCAGACTTACCATCAACTACTGTTCAGAATCAATCTCATTCGTGGACACATGCAGCCCCAACAAGGATGGACACCTCAATACCTCACCTCTACCCGTAAGCCCAAGGATAACTTTATGATACTGCACTTCTCTAGCTTCCACCCTAAACATGTTAAAGAAGCCATCTCCTACAGATAAAGCCCTGCGCACACACAGGATCTGCTCAGACGAAGAGAATTGTGGCAGACATCTAAAGATACTGAAAGACGCTCTCATAAGAACAGGATATGACACTCAACTCATCAATCGCCAGTTCTCATATGCCACAGTGAAAAACCGCAACAACCTCCTCAGAAGACAGACACAGGATATGACCGATAGAGTACCCTTCGTCATCCAGTACTTAGTCAGAGCTGAGAGACTACACCATGCTCTTCACAGCCTTCAACATGTCATTGACAACAACGAACATCTCACCAAGATTTCAGCTCTGCCTCCACTTCTCACCTTCAAAGCAACTGTCAAACCTTAAACAGACCATCGTTTGCAGCAAACTACTCAGACTTCAGGACACCGTTCACCACAACACCACACAACCCTGCCATGGCAACCTCTGCAAGAAATGTCAGATCATCAACATTGATACTACCATCACACGTGGGAACACCACCCAGCACATATCAGCAGATACTCACGTGACTCGGCCAATGTTGTCTACCTCATGGTCTACAGGCAAGGATGCCCTGAAGCAGGCAGATGCTACAACAACGGATGAATGGACACCACATGACAATCTCCTGACAGGAATGTTCCCTCCCCGTTGGGGAACACTTCAGTGGCCAGCGACATTCAGCCTCCAACATTCGGGTAAGCATCCTCCAAGGCGGCCTTGGAGATACACAACAACGCAAAAATCGACGAGCAGAAACTGATAGCCAAGTTCCGTACCCATGAAGCTAGCTTCTAACTGTGATCTTGGGTTCATGCCGCACTACATGTGACACCACCACACTGTCCTGTTTCTGTAAAATCTTTCTTACTGTCCTGTTTTGACACCATCACATTTTTGAATTGTTATGATCTCTCTACCTTAATTTGTAGAGTTTTGGATTACTTGTTACTTTGGTTAGACCCTCAGCATGCGCCTCTTATACCTATCATGTTATTCCAGTCATTTATTTGTCTCCAGCACCACCTTATTTTTAATTTTTTGTAATTATCCCTCTGCCTCAATTAATCGAATTACAGATCATCCTTCATCTGCTATTCAGTTGTTAACACTTTACTCACACCATATGGCACTGTTGATCACCTGCAGAGACCTATTATTCAGCCTGTCGACACTCCACTCACATCATTTGTATGATCCTTTGATCTCTTTGATTATAAATTTTGTGCCCAAGTGCTTCTCTTCACTTAACCTGATGAAGGGGCAGTACTTCAAAAGCTTGTGACTTCAAATAAACCTATTGGATTATAACCTGGTGTCGTGTGATTTCTAACTTTGTCCACCCCTGGTGGACATGCACATTGAGGCCCCTTTCTGATCCCAGGATCCAATTGTTCATAAAGTATTTGCTTGCCTTGTTTGTCCTGCTTGAGTGCATCACTTCAAACTTATCATGGTTGAATTCCATTTTGCACTGATTAGCCCATCCGACCAACTCGTCAACATCCTCTTGTAATCTCAGGCACACTATTTACCACTCCAACAATTTTCTTAGCATCCGCGAACAACCATCCTACATTCAAGTCTAAATTGTTTATATATACACCACATTTAGCAAGGGCCACAACAATTATCACCTTGGAACACCACTGGACACAGGGTTCCAGTCACAAAATATTTCTCAACCACTCTCAATATCCTGCCACTCAGCTGATTTTGTATTGAATTTGCTAAATTAATCTTTTTCTGGTTGGCAAGATTGCAAAGAGTAGTGTGCCACAGGGGTCAGTGCTGGAGCCTCATTATTTTACAATTTATATGAATGACTTGGATGACAGGACCAAAGGTATAGTTGCTAAATTTGCTGATGACAGATAGGCAAGGAGGAAAATTGTGAAGAGGACATGAGGAAGCTGCAAAGGGATATAGATATGTTAAGTGAGTTGGTAAATATCTGGAAGTAAACTGTCATGTAGGCAAATGTTTAATTATCCATTTTGACACACAAAAAAATAGAAAAGCACATAATCCAAATCGGGACTGGTTGTA